TCACTCACTCACTCACTCACTCACTCACTCACTCACTCACTCACTCAGAGAGGTAACTAAAATGGACCTCTTTATCTCCTTGGTTCCATCTAAAGCCCTAATGTCCCCAACACTAGGCAGAGATTGTTGTTGACTTGGTCCATCTGGCATGGCAACTAATTGCGTCACAATGAGCAACTAATTTCCGTTACTCTCAACTGACACATGACAACTGAAGTAAATATTTAATTCAGAGAAATTATATTTGATAGTTCCTTTGAGCCCTGGGACATTGTTACTTGGATAATGTTCAGTTCTTTTATTTAGCAACGTCTAGTGAGTTCAACTTCTCTCAGTCCCAAATAAATTCCTTAACATCATATCGGTGAATTGGTTTTACGTCCCTGGATTTCTTTAAATTTGAACCCAGACTATTAATCTAGGCCTCTTTATCTTTACATTTAGGCATGGCTTGTATAGCTCTCCCGCAGGGTCACACAGGCTCCTGGGTGTGTTAACCAGGGGACTGTGTACTGACTGTGCAACTCCCTAACTAAAGCAGTTGCTGCCATGGCTGCCTTATTCTCTGGCCTCCTGCAGTGCTCACAACCTGCACAACTTCCTCAGTGCTCAGTTAAGTGGCAGATCTTAGTCTAGCCATAGAACAAAATGAATGAACAAATACTGCTGATTTCTTGAAAATTACACCAGACAAACAGAAAGCTTCTGTTAAACTATGATATTCATGCCGTCTTTCAGTGTCTAAAGCACATTACGCTGAATCTGGCAAAATACGCAGCATTGCCTTTTGCATCACTGTGCTGTAAAGCAGTTTCACATGTTGTAAACATCTCAGATAAGCACTGTTTTGCAATAATGCATGAAAGGTCCAGTGCTGCTCTGTGACAAGTCACAGATAACGACAAAACATTGTCACCATGGAGACGGTGTTAGCTGAACTTGTAATCTGATGGGAAATGTATTTGACATAGTTTTCTTTTCTAGAATAAGGCCATGCACAGAATTGAATTACTGACACCTAAAACAACAAATACCTGTTTATTTGGTAGCATTCAATCCCATTTTTTTATGACAGTTGGAATCAGTTTTGGATCCTGAATCAGGAAGCTGACACCTGTAGCCACTGGCTGGCTATGGACACTCAGCAGTCATTTTGTGAATTTGACTGATTGTGTTAAATGTGCTGTACACTTTTACATGGCTGCTGGTTTCTTTGCTAGCTCTGTGATGGACAGGCAAATGAAGAGTCTATCCTGCCTATTGACCCGCATCAGCTGGAATAGGCTTCACTAAGCAGTCACCCTGAACAAGGTAGCATATATAGAACAAATGTATAGGATCTTATCTTATTGCAGGATAAAGAAAACTTGGTCGAGTCAACATGATCAATCAGCATTACATAATTACCTTGATAAACGGTATCAAGCCCTTGATATAAATTTTTTAGAATCTGTTTTGTACTTACTTCCTGTGTGCTTCGTTTTAGTCCCAGATTAGACCAAAAGACAATGACTTCTCCTCAGTACTCTTATTGTATTTGGAAGGGAGTGTGAGACTGTTGTACTTTAAACTGTGACTGTATGTCACATCTGCGTTTTAGCTTTTATTATTTAGCATGACAATAACATTTTTGTCCCTCATGACTCAGCCTAAATCAAAAGCCTGTACAATGAAACAAATGGTGGTAGATGAGGCTGCGAGCTTTTTTTTGTCTATCCTCAGATTTCATGATTTCCTACATAATTGCATTTTGTGTGTGCACATGTGTGGGTGTATTCAGACTGGTGGAAATCAGGAAAATACAAAACAAATCAGTGCAACACTTGTGCACATAATAAGGTGCTCTGAGTTGAAAAGTGGCACACCCTTACATAACTGCCTTTATATTAATGATTAACAAACATGCAAATAATTTCACTTGAGTGGTATGTTATTTATAGCTTATTCGCCCATTTATTTTGAGAAGTAAATTAGTGTAGCAATGTTGTGCTGAATGCACTCTCTCCTTGTCACTAATCTGCCACTGTGACGCTTTACTATGCAGGTCGCAGCTGCTGCATTGAGGTGGTAGACAGGCAGACATTTGCCCCGAGCCATGCATCTTTCTGTGAACTGGAAGAGTTGCTTAAAAGAGCTAGACATAGAACGCGAGTGACAGCTGCTGATGACTGTTGGGCTCTGCTCCTGCCCCAAATGTTTATCTTGCGACAGCGTCATTCAGCATGCATACAGATTATTCATTACATCCATGTAGCACACTCAAGCAGCATGTAGAAAACCCTTTGACAGTTGTGCTCATTCATTTTTATCAAGCTTGCAAAATCAGTGCCTGTGTCTTAAATAGAATAGTGTTCAGGGGATCCAGTTATACTGGATGTATTGGGGGTGTTTTCTATATTGACGGGGTACATTTATGTAAACCTGGCCTGGTGAATCTCCCTTTGTCAACTCTGCTCTGACAAGAAAGCCTGATGTACATTTGTAAGAAGTGAGAAAAAAGGGCATGACCATTTTCAGTAATGGGCCCTCATTTTCCTGTCCATTAGGCACTTTCTCGCAATCACTCAGACCTTTACTCCACATTTTCAAAAATAGAATTTTACAAGCTATTATTATGATGGTATGAGCATATTAATCATAATCTTTTTGTCCGCAGACGTTATGATTTCTCAGTGACAGACCACTTGTCATTGAGTTAATGTTTACTGATGCCTCTTTGCACATCTTGGCAGTTTCACAGATGATCAGGGCAAGGGATGCATTTCCAGCATCGTACTACCTTTTTGCAATCTCAGGTGGATCGTTTGAGCTGGCTCAAAGATGAAAACAATCAGCTGAATTTGGTTTGCACAACTGTGATAACTTTAAATAGATAATATAAGGATTTATAGCACAATGGATTTCCTTTGGTGTCATGGATGGGTTGGTGGTAGTACTGCAGAAATAAGTCAACTGCTGTTTGTGTTGATTAATTTTTCATTGAAACTGGATAACAAATTATATTTTTAAGTTAAATGAGTGATACATGAGGAAGGAAAATGGTCATGTCAGCATTTATTTCAAGGCCTTGAAAGGCCCGCATTCAGCAGTCCTTTAGAATTACAGCGGACAGTCTTGTGTCTTTGATCATCAGCATAGACTTAGAAACCATAGAATGACTGATGAATTCAACATAAAGGGTCATAATGTTTTATATATGTCATGGACTTGTGTGTGTGTTGCTCAATTATTTGCACTTTACACAGATACAAGTATAGGTCCATGTTAGGTTGAGATAAGGTATGTATACGGAATGCACTGTAGCTGTGGAGTTGAAAATAATCCAATTATACGTTGATCAGTCCAAAGATCTTAAAAATCTATGCCTCTTAAGTATCATGATGTAGATGCATGACATCTTTTACTACCTATGACCCACCGTTTTCATTTTCATGCAAACATTTAGAAAATACAAATCTATGTCGGCCCGTTTTCATCTTAATTTCTACCATGGCTTTAGCTGAAAGCCCTTTCTATAAATTTGTTTTTCAGATTTGCATTTGAGATTTCTAGTGACTATGAAACTGTGCTTGCAAAACCCAGTTTTTCTTTAGATCAGCAATGTGTCTGAGTACCTGTTGAATGTTGCGTTCTTTAAGGTTTTTTCTTCTATTTCTCTTATGTGGAACTAATGGATGTGACTAAACACAAGTGACTGACATCTTTGGCATATGGATCTTTCATAACCTCAACAACCAAAGCGTTTGATTTACAAAAAAGTAGCCTTTTGGGATGAAAACATCTAAAGCAGTTAATGGGGCTGTAAGTTATTTTGGCCATCTGACAGTATCAGTTAAAAATCAATATTTTCTGTCCTTGTCTGTCGGTTTTTCAGATGCCAACTGAACTGAAAAAGTATTTTGTTCAGGTTTTAGGCTAAAAGGTGATATTTGCAGGCTTGAAAATTTAGATAA